TAATAGTAAAGGTAACATTTTATATAAAAAATACTTTAAAACCAATAGTTATCTTTAGTAAGAACTTGTGAAGTCTTGTCAACCACGAGATATTTGTTATTCAAATGATTTTTTTTGTAAATGTAGCCTATGGACAGCTAGTGCATGTTGCACATTTTAATCTGTTTAGTTAGCATGTGTGTTTATAGAAGCTTCACAAAAATATGTTCAAAGCGAGTGTGTCTTATTATTCTCTGGCTAACTTCAACACCGCAGTTTATTTCTGCCCAAGTAGGAACTTTTCAATGATACAATGAAATACTGTCATTTACCTTAATCGTGTCCATGAGACTCTGGACTTTCTGCTCGTCCAGCTCCGGAGGAAACGGTCTGATGATGACCTGCAGAGGGACTTTATGAACCTCCTCGATGGAATCTGAATGAATGGACCTGCTGTTATCACCGTCTGCCACACCGCGCTCACTGCATGTTTTCGACATGTTTCTACTAGCTAAAAACACCAGCTTTAACTGTGTTTTATTTCCCTGCCATAATCTAAACAGCTTCATAATAAAGCACTTCCTGAACTTCTTGGTCACGCTACATGATTCACTGACAGAAAGACTTGATTGGTTAAAGTGACTGTCAGTCACAACGTCCCCAATCTTTCATTGGTTATACTGCGTGTGTTTACGGAAGAGCGTTTTGATTGGTCAGAGTCACTGTCAATCAAAAACAGCGCCATGCCYCACTTCAGGTTAGTTGGAAAAAAATGGTTTTCGCTGGAGTAAGTAAGGTAAAGCTGTTGATTTAGTTGGTATGCCTGTTTTCACCTCGTTGTTTAGTTAAAATGAAGACTCAAGATTAAAGCTGTTTTCGTAAACAAGTCTATATAGGTCAAATTAAAAAAAGCTAGGGTATTACTGTGTTCACAAACCTAAAGCCAATTATTTGGAATGCCATATGGTGTTTTCTTGTGAGTAAAGAAATAGAACTATCAAGAAATGTTATTAGCATTTGTTTTGGAGTGTACTATTATGAATTTAAAGTTTTGTGTCAGCCAACCTTTTCATAATCAGAGATTTTAAAAAGGCGCTTTGAAAGTCTTTTTTATTTACTGTAATTTTTTCCTATAATTTTGTGTAAATTCTACTGATATATATAT